ATAGGATTTTGATCAAATAAGCACATATAGGAAAAATGGAAATACCGGACATTTAAGCACAATTCCCCGATTAATTCTAGTACAATAAACTAAGTAAGTGAATAAAAATTGACTCATCATGTATATTTATCTCTCAAAGAAATATATTGAAGTCTACTAAAGAAGTCAAGATGAATGATTGTAAACCATCGTACTCTGTTGGTGGTAAATGAGAAGCTACAAAAAGATGATGGAGCACAAGAGGTAGATGCATCACACTATATGAGTTTGGTTGAAAGTCTTTTATATCTCATAGCTACACAACCAAACATTATGTACATTACAAGTATTCTATCAAGATTCACACAAAAACCAAGTTAGATTCATTATGGAGTAGAAAAAAAAATTTAAAATATCAAGAAGACACAAAAGAGTTTGGTATATGATACAAAATCATAACTAACTTAGGGATAATTGGCTACACAAATAATTTAGTATAATAACTGCAAAAAATTGTTAAAATCTCAGTTAACATTTGAAAATACTAAAATTATTAATATTCATTATCATTTCATAAAATAACTTTAAATAGAATAGACAATTAAATATTTATTATAAAATTTATAAATTAATGAAAATTAATTAAAAAAAAAATTTATTTAAAAATTAAAAATATTTATATTTTTTAGTGATTTTTAATTGTCAAAATACAATAAAATTATATAATAAAAATCTTTTTGTGACAGTTTTGAATTATTATAATTTTTTATTCTTTTCTAGCAAAATTACTTCCATTTAAATTTTTGTTGCCCCAAACAATTATTGACATGTGTAATTTTTGTGGTTATTTTAGTTGTTATAAATTTTATTTATGAATGTTTTTAACCGTTAAAATCTATAATTTTAACTTTTACAAATATAATAATATTTTTTTAATATTAAAATATTTTATTATTATTTGACAATTATAAAATATTAATTATTCTTTGAATTATTTGTATTGAAAATAAAAAAGTAAATTATAACACTTAAATGCTTACATTACTCAATAATTGCTATCTTCATATTCAACTTTAAATTTAGTTAAACGAAACAACGTAATATATATTTTCTATTCTTTATTACAGTTTGATTTCCAAATTGCACGATCTTATAAAGTTTGTCCTCTAATGTACAAAATATCGCAAATTTTGTCGAACTTATTTAAACCTTCATGGTTAAAATAGTTGTGTGGTGATTTTTGTTTTAAAACGCCACATCACAATTTATGTCTTTATATAAATCGAGAAGTAATTTCTTAAATATATATATATATATACACGTATTAATTAGAGCTATCAAAATGGATAACTCGGCTCGATCGGTCCTGGATTGGTCACTTAGTGAGTCAACCCAATCTGGCTTACTTATTAGCGAGTTGAAAATTTTCGAATTCGGTCCGACCCACCATTGGTTGGTGGGTTAAATGGGTTGACTCACTAGCTCATTTAATTACAAGTTTTTTTTAAAATAAAAGATTACAAATTTTTTAATTCAAATCTAAATAAACGTCATACTAAAATGATGTTAAACTCCAAAGATAATTCAAAATAAAAAAACAAATATTGTAATACAAAAACATGTAAAAAGACGAACAAATAAGTTTTTAATATTGATAATTTTGTATCACTTGTCCATTTATAATATTTGAGTCTTAAAATATAAATCTATGATACTTTTCTCTCTTAAAACATCTCTTTTCTCACCATCTACAATATAATAAAAAAAATGCTAACTTATAATATTGAAATACAAAATAATAAATAATTAAATTAAATTAGGTAATTTTTGAGCCAACCCGGTTCACCATGGGTTCAACTCGGTGAGCTGGGTTATAAGTGAACCGAGTTGAAACCTAGCCCGCATAAAAAAAATTACATTTTTTTCGAACTCAACCCAACTCAAACCCGTAGTGAGCTGGTTGGCTCGCGGGTTACAACTCATTTTGACAACACTAGTATTAATGATGCGATCTATAATATGTATCTATGAATATTTCTTAGATAGGACAAAAATAATATATTATATAATATTTTCAGAATTTTTGTAAAAGAAAATACATCCTCTTAAAAATAATTCAAATAGTTAAGGTTTTATAGTTTCCAATGGTTCTTTGAGCTTTTTAAATTTTAAAAATATTATATATTTTTTATATCAATATTATGAAAGTTATTTTTCTCTCGGTGCTAATCTTTGAGATGTTGTTTCACAGATTGACTTCGGATGACCATATCATCTACGTAGACTTCCATACATTTGTCGATTTGGTGGTAGAAGACTTTGTCCATAAGGCGTTGGTAGGTGGCTCCTGCATTCTTCAGACTGAACGACATTACTTCATAACATTAATTGGCGCGTTGGGTAGTGAAGGTTGTTTTATCTTGATCGGGTTTGTACATGGGGATTTGGTTGTACCCCGAATACGCATCAAGGAAGCTTAGTACTATATGTCCTGAGGCCCCATCTACATACCGATCAATGCTCGAAAGGGGATATGAATCCTTAGGACAAGCTTTGTTAAGGTCGGTGAAGTCTACGCACATTCTCCATTGGCCGTTGGGCTTTTTGACCATGACAACGTTCGACAACCACGTCGTGTAAGTTATTTCTCTGATAAATCGGACGTTCGTCAGTTTGTTGACTTCTGTTTGTATGGCCTCTCGTTTTTCTTCCCCGAATCTCCGTTTCTTCTGAGCGACTGAACGTGCTTCCCTGAAGATTGACAGCTTATGAGTCATTATTCCCGGATGGATCCCCGACATATCTGCGGCCACCCACGCAAATAGGTCGGCGTTGATTTTTAGCATCTTTGTCAGATCATGCTCATCGTGCGGTTCCAGGCTTCCAACGATGGTCGTGGTTTCTGATGCGTTTGCTCCCAGCTGGAATGTTTTGACGTCACCCTGTGGATGGAGACGCTCGTCTACATTGGTTCTGGGATCCAAGTCAATCGTTGCCGTTTCGGCTCCTCTAGCTCTTCTTGGTGGCATGAAAGGTGTGACCTTTAGACCGACAACGTAACATTGCCGAGCCGTTCGCTGGTCGACCCTTACCGTACACACGGTGCCTCTCTCCGTAGGGAACTTCATAGCTAGATGAGGAGTGGAGACTATGGCTCCGAAAGCGTTCAAGCAGGGTCGTCCTAGTAAGGCGTTATATGAGGTATTGGCCTATACCAGTAAGAACCTGACTCGTAGCTCTCTTGCTTCTTTGTCCGTTCCAAGTCGAGTCCTTAGGTCGAGGTATCCCCGAGTGTCAACCCTTTACCCTGCGAAACCTACGATCTGCTCGTTGAAAGGGGCTATCAGGTCTTCGGATAAATCCATTTTCAAGAATGTGGTCCAGTACAAGATATTGACCGAGCTGCCTTGATCGTGAGCACTTTCCTGACATCGTATCGGGCTATCTCGGCGGTGATTACCATGGGATCGTCGTGATCGGGGTCAGGAGCGTGAAAGTCTGCATCTGTAAAGGTAATGTTGGGCATGGATCGAGGCTGTTGGTCTACCATGTGCACCGTTTTTAAATCTCTCAAGTGTCTCTTCTGAGCAGATGTTGATGCTCCTCCTCCTGCGAAGCCTCCGGATATGGTGTCGATTCGTCCTCGGACCGACCTCTCTCTTTCTAGGTGTCGGGAGCGGCTTTGGGATTGTCGTCTTTGTCGATCGTCTCTGTGAGACGATTGTTCGGGACTTGTCCTCGAGGTTTCATTTCGACTTGGGGTCGCTGCTTGGGATGTCCTCTCCTTTATGTATTTTTGGAAGTATCCTGCACAGATGAGCCTCTCTATCTCATCTTTCAATAGGTTACACTCTTCGGTGTCATGGTCGTGGTTCAGATGAAGACGACAAGCCTTACTCTCATCAGCATTCTTTAGAGTGGATTTTCGCCGAACAGTGAGGAGTTTTGCGTGTAGGGCCTCCTCGAGTACCTTTGCTCTGGGTGCGTTAAGGACAGTATAACGATCGTACTTGGGTGTCCACCCCGACTCCTTTCGAGGAGGTCTCTCAGATTTATAGTCGTTGGACGATCGCTTCGTTTCTTTCTTGTTACCGCTGTTAGGATTTTCTTGTTGTTGCCTTTTTCGGGAGTTTCTGATGTCCTCAATGCGTATGAATTTTGCAATCGTTTCATGGAGCTCTTCCATAGACTTTGGATCTGCATACAACTGTTCAACAAAATACCCTGGCCTCAAACACGAAGGCAAATTGTTTATTATGAACGTGTGATTCACGTCTTTTACGCGCCTGGCCGCCTCATTGTACCTCTGAATGAAAGCTTTCAAGGTTTCATATTTTTCTTGTTTAGTGCTTACTAGTTTAGCCGGTGTCATCTCCTGTCTTCTATTGGCAGCGTATTGTTTTCGGAAAAGAGTTTCTACGGTAGCAAAACAATCCACTGAATTTGTAGGGAGGGTGTGATACCACTCCAGTACTTCATCTTTCAGGGACAATGAAAAAGCCCTACATATGACTGGATCGTTATCGGTATAGAATGCCATAACATCTATGAATTTTCAGAGATGGTTGTCCGGGTCTTCTGAGCAATCATATCTCTCTAGCAATGGAGGGGGCTTCTCTGGCATATTGGTTTGCATGATTGCCTCCGTAAACTGAAGCAGGTTGGTAAGTCGTAGAGAAGTAGGGCCTTTCCTTCCTCCACCCCCAGGCTCGGAAGGTCCCCCGTGGTGGTTTACTTCGTTATCGTCTTGTTTGTTTGAGGCCGATATCTCCGGCGGAGGTCGTTGCGTTCTCAGCGCCGCAAGTTCCTCTGTTTGTTTGCGTTGAACTTCTTGTTGTTCTCGTATGGTTTTCGCCTGCACTTCTATTTGTGCCTGAAGTTGCTTGATCAAGTCTCGGGTGTTGTTTTCTTCCATAGCTTTTGTGGTCTTCTTTGGGATATCAAGTCTCGGCCCTACGGTGGGCGCCAAAATGTTTCAGTATAATTGTTGAGGCCGAGATGTGAACCTGATGAATGACGTCTTCTCCTTCCAGCAATGTAGGTATCCTTATATCTTCATCTTGCACAGGGCTCTTCAGGGACAATGGAGTGGGTACCTGCGAAGGCACTCTGACGATCAAGTCAGAAAAAGGAATGACAGAACCTTTTTAGTTCAATAATGAAAAATTAATCTTTTCTCCCCTCTTTCTCAATTATCAAAAACACACCTTTTTCTCTTTTGGTTTTTCATATTTAACCTAAAAGTAAGATAAACCGTTTACCTAAAAATTCGGTTGGTTGGAGAACTCAATCGCTTGGAAAATTCAACCGCTCGGTCGTGCTTGATACCGGGTTAGTTGGTTCCATGATTTACGATATCATGGCCAGATATTTCTAACCACTTATTCCTTAGTTTATCCGGGTTAATTGATCCAGTCTGAATAAAGCTGACCAAACGTCTGTCGACTCTTACCTTTGACTGGGTTGATTTGATCCATGATGATCGTTTGGTTTAAGTAACAGACGATCGCTATTAAGACGATTGATGTTAGGAGCGACGATGACGAGCGTATGATATGACAATCATCTCGCTAGCATTATCTTCTATGATATCACGGTCGTTCTGTCTAGTAGGCTGACGATCGTTCGAAAGTGATCGTTTAAGTACTCGTTAATATGTGACCTGTTTACTTTTGGTAGTTGTCCGAATAAAAGCGATCGTTCAGTTGCTAGTTCAATCTACTGTTGACAATCGCTCGACTCATATGTCCTACCATACTATGTTTAGAATGGAATGTTTGGATTTGTTTGGAAACGACATAAAAGCTAACAACATACATCAATAATAAGACAATACCCCCACAAGTTATATTCTTACATTGCATCGTAAGAGGAGGGAAAGACAGTGACCTTATAAGGGTGGGGTGAATTACAAAGCATAAAGCAAAACAAAAGGATGAATGATAATAACTAGTATTATAATATGAGTGTCAATAATGATTGACGAAGACGTCGTATTCGACGATGGCATCGCCTTTGGAGAAATCGACGGAGTGGAACCTGGCCTGAGCGTAGCCACGAGCGAAGCGAAAAACTCCAGTGCCGCCAACGATGGCCATTTCCCTAACGGGTTCGCTCATGATCATGTTTCTGGCCAACACGCTGATGGTGCTGCCGTTGAAGTCTCCGTCGGTGAAGGCCATGGTCATAACCATCATGAGCCCCATCTCGGCCTGAGATATGGAAGTGTAAATGCCCTGGGCCTTCCCCACGAGTTTGGAGTCGGGTTCGGGTCCGGCAGTCAAGGGGTCGTCCATGGCGACAACGGTGCCGAAAGGAAGGGCGTCCTTGGCTTTTCCGTTGGGCTCGGCGACAATGACCATGCTGGGGTTGGGCCCGGTGACTACGTCGTGGAAGAAGAAGTGAAGATGAGTGAACTTATCCTCACGGAAACCCATCAGCGTTGGGGTTAGGCTTTGATAGTAAGAGGCGGTGACGAGAGAGATTAGTAAAGAGAGGTTAAGGCAAAGGAAAACGGTAGAGTTGGCCATGCTTCAGAAACTCCACAAAACTCAAATCTATTTCTCTCACTCTTTCTCTTTTATTCCACTCTGTCGATGTGAGCACTCAACTCTCCCCCACTGACTATTTATAACGCTCAATCAGCCCTACAATATCCCTTTTTTAATCTCACCATAATTCAAACTCAACACCATTTTCACTTCTCCCTTTGTTTTTATCCCATGCCTTCTACCGTTGACGGACCAAAACCTCACATAAAATAAGAATGACAGATTCACACGTATCACCTCAGCTTGGAAACGAAGAAAAACACAGGAGAAACGACTTATTATAATACATCTTTATCAAGAAAAGTGGCTTTAAAATATTAGAGATATATAACTTTACAACGTAAGAAATATTATAATAGTTCTCTCACAAACTGACGTGGCCTTTGGTAGTAGCAGAGCATGGCCGTTGCTCCCTCCACCACAGAAATATTATAATAGTTCTCTCATAAACTGATGTGGGCCTTTGGTAGTAGCAGAGCATGACCGTTGCTTCCTCCACCAGCAATATTTCATATCTACTTTGTCATGTTGACACATGTAAACGGATATTCACGTTCATTTACATATTTTATATTTTAATTTATTATTTTTATTTTAAAAAAAATTAATAAATTTTTAAAAAATATTTTATTTATTATTTAAATAATAATACATAAATTAAATTAATAATAATTATTTTATTAAATAAAATAAAATTAATTTATAAATAATTAAGTAATAATTTGAAAAAAATTAAATAATATATACATTAATTTAAAATATTAAAAATTAAAAAACTAAAAACTAAAAAAAAGAAATTCAACAAATGTCGCCAAATCCATTAACGGATAACGGATAACGGATGTGACACATTCGTTAACGGATAACGGATGTGATACATCCGTTTTAAAAACTATTTTAATTATTATTTAAATAATAATACATAAATTAAACTAATAATAATTGTTTTATTAAATAAAATAAAATTAATTTATAAATAATTAAGTAATAATTTTAAAAACTTAAATAATATTTATATATTAATTTAAAATACAATAAACTAAAAAATTGAAAACTGAAAGAAAAAACTCAACGGATGTGGCATATTCGTTGAAGAAAAGAGGTGGAAGTGTAGTATATTTTAAAATATAAATGATAATTTTGGAATTTAGAAAAAATGTGGTGGTGTGGACTGTGTAGCGAGTAACCCTCGCAGAGCATGGTATTCCTGCGCAGACTTTTGATGTTGAGAAAAAAAACTTGAGCTTTCCCACTGTGTTGTTGTCTTTGACGCGGATGTATTCTAGTTGAATGTGGTGGTACGACGTTATCAGTTGCTAGAATATGTTGTTTTGTTGCTCTCCTTTGATTTTGATAATATGTAATGCATGTCTATGCTGTGAGGTGCATAACCTTCTCTATCTCCAAGTTTTCTCTCCACACACACCCCATTTTGAGTGTTCTTAGAAGAAGTTTACCTTGAATTACTTTACAGTGTTATTAACTTTTTAAAAACATTTCCATTCGTCAGCAATTGTGCATTATAGGCATAAAAAGTTGTCATTGGCATTTGTCAATATTAGACTTTATTTCTTTTAGATTATTTTATTTCCCAATATAATCAAATATTATATCATTACATAAATCAGACAGCAGTATTTATAAATATTATTGATTCATGAAAGATGGCAGTATACAATTCATTCAAATATCATTTCAATGATAAATTCATTTTTATTAATTAAAAAGTAGTCGACGTTGGTATAAAAAGATTTAAAAAATAATTCTAACGTAGTATTCAAAAGATTAATGTATATGTATATATACAAGAATTCTATAATGTTTTATCTGGTAAAGAAATGATAGTTACCCAAATCTGTATAAATTATAATAATACATAAATTAAGCAAACACAATGTTTGATTGTTTAATATTTGCTAATAATATTTGACATATTTTAACAGTTTGATTAGGTCATAGACATACATCTTTAGTTGGACAATTAGAAGTTATTTAATAACAAATAGGCATTAATTACTTCAATTTTATAAAATACATAAAACATTTTTTACCTCACTTCTTAACAAATTCTTTTTTAATAACTTATATACAAATACATTATTATATTTTTATTTAAAACATTCAAAGTTGTT